ATCCCAGCCCTCAGTGCATACAGTCATACTCATGCACGAGAATAAAGGGCTCTTATTACCAACCCGTCCATCATAAATGACTACAACCTCTGTACTGTGATCCCAGTGGCTCCCTTGGGAAGCTCTCCTCATTTCATCTTTTTTATCCCTCACCTCTTTTCTTTTGTTTCAGTAATTCAAACCCCTTAAACCCAAATAGGATGCGACACAGAGCCCTGCTGTTTTGACAAGTTAAATGACTACAGGCAACGATGTACGTCTCAGTCGGTCTGTAAGCAGCACACGTCACCAGCCACCGCCTTGCTGTGAGTTAAACAGATATGTGTTTGTGTCTGTGTGGATGTGTTCTTTCCACCAGCACCCTGCTCCGTTTTTTTTTTACATATATTTTTCCTATGTACACACCCCGACCCTTCGGCAGCCTCCTTTCTCGAGGTGAAATTGAAATGGATTGTGTAGCTCAATATTTTATTGACATCAACTTCAAAGAATGTTGCTGCAGTGACACCGGGGATAATTATTTCACCACAGATTTCTTCCTCTCTGCATTGCACGTCTCTCCCCTCTCTCCCTTTTTCTCTTTCTCTCTGTCTGCTTTCCTCCGAGCCCTTCCATTCCTGTAGAGAATTAGTTCTGCATAAATTACCCAGTGGAATATTGAATCAGTCTTCAGCCACCAAAGGCGAGTCTGTGTGGCTGATTACTGAACAGCACACACAACACACATGCTGACACACACTCAGAAAGTAGATGGAGGAAGGGGGTTCTAAGTGCAGAGCTCACATTGTTGCAGAAAATATGGTAAGAAGGGAAAAAAAAGGGAGGTGGGGGGGAGGTGGATGTGGAGAGGGGTAGTGTCGGCCAATCTGGATAAAGAGAACGAAAGCTGTATTAGCCTCCTTAGCCACACGCTATCTACTCATTACTTAGTCATTAGCAGGGGGATGGTTTTAAAGAAGGGAGAGATCAATCAATTGTCATGGGTCAATGTTTTGCAGCCACTATTATGAACCCTGGGTGGCTTTGTAAATTAAGAAGAGTAATTACTCATGTTAATTATGCGAAGATGGTGGCCACATTGATCCACAAATATGTTTTGCACAACGCAGACGGTGTGACGCGCAGGAGTTTATAGAATAGCTATTGCACCGGCCAGGCAGAGGTCAATCAGAAAACCCGTTTGGTAGAAAAGTAAAGAAGTGTGAACTGCCATGTTTTTAAGCAAAAAAATATGATTTTGGCTTAAGTGACCACTCTGTTTATTTTTAGAGCTATACCTTTCTTACTAGATGTTATTCTGAATGGAAACTCTGCATGCTTTGCCCTCGGTATCTGTTTCACACAGGAACATCATTTGTGGCACACCACACCCTTCTTCAATTTCCTTGTAAATAACCATCTATGTAAGTGTCAATAACCACCCCTTGCAAATGGGACAATGGTTTGAAGGTTTACAAACTACAGTTTGGATTAACTGCTACGACAATTTTGAGAATGAAGTTCTTTAAGACACAGAAAGCCGCTTTGTTGTCTGCTCTCCCAGTACAGAATCTCACTTTTGAAATGATGAATTATTCCCTTACAGGCTGGATCATGGATCAACTGGTAGGTTGCTAGTTCAAACCCCCATTCCATCCTTCGTTGCATCCTTGGACAAAATATTTCACTTGCCTTGCCTGCTGGTGGTGGTCAGAGATTCCAGGGGTGCCAATTGTATGACAGCCTTACCTCTGTTAACCCACCCCAGGGCATCTACTGCTATAATGTAGCTTACCATGATCAATGTGTGAATGACTGAATGAAATGGTAAGCATTTTGGAGTTCTTGAACTTGCTAGTGCAGACCATTTAATATGTATGTTTTGGTACCTTGAGAATGGGGAGAACATGGCAACTCCATGAATAAAACCAGACCTGAAGCTTACACCTAGTTCTGGATTAAAGACAAAAAAAAAAAAAGAATTAAGTGATTGTCCTTAATTCCTTCATTGCTTCTTATGTAAATAGTCATCTTCTTAATAGCCCCTTTCCAGATACTGACAGTTTTTTTTTCTTTTGTAAGTTTGTTCTCAGTGGTTAAGAGTGCAGAGAGAGAAAAAGTAATAACAACTGATAGGATACTTAAACTTTTAAGTGTTAACCCTAATCAGCAGCAAGTTATTTTACTCAGAAGAACCATTATATTACACAATGATATGCTAGAAAAATGATGAATAGCAATTTTCCAAGGGTTCTCAACTGAATATAGGTCTGGACTTTGAATAGGCCATTTTAAAACGAGATTTAAAGGAGGGACTTGTAATCCTTTTCACTCAGGCTGTATGTTGTCCTGATGAAAGGTGAACTTATGAACCAGTCTCAGATCATTTGAAGCCTATCACAGCTCTTCATCAATGATTTAGCTGAATTTAGCACCTTGTTGGCTCCAAGCTCTAACCAGATTCCCTGTCATAATTTAAGAAAAGTGCAGGTTAATGCTACCATCACTATGTTTTATGGAGAACCATTATGATTTTACTTCTACTTCACAGTTAACAAATGACATTTATTGTGAATTAGCCCTGTTTAAATAAACCAAATTGAACTGGAATGAATCAAATTATACTCTACTTTGTGTTGGTCTGTCAGCTGAAATTACAATAAGACTTTAATTTTTTTTCTTCTTCTTTTTTTTTTTTTTTTTTTTTTTTGCTGTAATGGTCCAAAATATGAAACAAAAAAGTTAACGAGTATGAATATTTATCAAGGTAGTTATACGCCTTGTTACTTGTCGTTGTTACTTGATTTCACACTCACATTGCTTTAAAAAGCACAAACAAATAATGGTGTCACTCTATCATGTTTCCAATTCAAGGGTAGGAGTGAGTTCATTATGCTTTTTCACACACTGAATAAAAATTGACATCTAAAAACACAGTTAGCTGTACCTGATGAATTATTCCATTGCTCCACTAACAGGTATTCTGACTTGCAGTATAATCTGACATTCTAAATAGTTTTTGCAAATTCACTTTGTTGATCTGCGTCAACCATGGAAGATCCTATAATCGAGAGAATATAATAGAAAAATATGCTTAATGGGAATGAATGAATGAATGAATGAATGAATGAATGAATGAATGAATGAATGAATGAATGAATGAACGAACATTGCATATGGCTAATTTGCGTAGCAGTGCTAACCATTCCAGGCGCCAAGTGAGTTTTTTTTTTTTTTTTTTTACCAGAGGTCATAAATTTAAAATACTGACTCTTCCATTGGGAGTACAGTGTTTATACATGTGTGTTTAAGCTCCTGATTGGTCGATTAAGCCTTCTCTACTATAGCTGATGTACAGTTTTGTACACAGCGATGCTCAAGAGGCACTTTAAAGAGAGCCAACTGAGCAACTCCTCATGGTTAGAAGCATTATTTGTAGTGGTCCCTTGAGTGGTTTAAAGGACCTCTTCATACACTCCTTAGATATATTTATACAGGCAGATACATCTGTGTCATTAAGTCAGCTGGTTTCCCTACAGAGAGAAAGGCCTTTGGGGAATTGTTGTCTTCAAAGGGAGGTGTTTTTTTCTTCAGAGACAGATCATGTAGAGCATTATATTAGTGGTTCAATTAGAAGCCATCGTAGTACTTAAGTGGCAGCAGACTTGGAAAATGAAAAATCTGATTCAGTCAAGCAATTTTCACTGTCAGCGGTTATAAGCTGACAGAACAATTAATCAACACAAACACGCAGTGGAAGGAAATTCTCATCAGGAAGTCATCAGTTGTCATCAGCGATTTCATGCCACTGTATAATACATCACAGGTAGCACCAAACAGCAAGTTCATTCAGTCGCTGCAGCCTCCTCTGTCAGCGTGGTTCCAGTGTTTGTGTTGGAAATAGTGTACATTTGTCTCCCTCTACAGGCCAGCTAATCATATTGCATACAAATAAGAGCCGCATTGAATCTGCTTTTTTTTTTTTTTTTTACCTGTGACGTTTTTTCGCTCCGTCATGCAAATAAAACATGGCAGTCCTACACGTAGCGCCTCTAATATTATTCATATTTATGCTGAAAAATTAGCGCAACTAAATTTCCAGACACGCACTGAAAAATATAAATAGGGTTAGCAAAGTCCCAATTCATACTGCTTGAGCTTTAAGATTTTTTTTTTTTTTTTTTACAAATTTTGGAATTTTATGCAATAGTCCAGGACAAAGTAGTAAAACATATTGAAGTGGTATTAATCATACTTAAATAAAAAAATTTTTGCACTGCACAAAATACTGTATGGGATTCATGTTAAGCAGAAAATTCCCATTCTCCCAGCATAAACTTTTAAAAAGACGCTCTGTGTAAACAATAAAAGAACCATTGGCAGTTGACTGCTTTTATTTTGTATATGTTGACATTTTCTGTCAAGGTCTACCTTGGCATGTTGCCTTGCAGCAAGAAGACCCCCGGGTCAGATCCTTTCTGATAAAGTCTGCATGCTAATTTAATATGAGCGTTTACAAAACCATAGAGCATGACTGTCAGGCAAAAACATCACGGAGGAAAAACGACAATAAAACTCATAGCCGTTAGAGGGCAGCGCAATCTCTGTACTTGCTGAATTCATGGCTAGCTGTGCGAGTTCTCTTTGGTGTACTGTTGTGCGCGATGCTTTTACATGCTCCTCGTAAATTAGATTTTTAAAATAGGAAAGCATCCAAACACCCAAACAAAGCGAAATGAAATTCAGTTGCTGGATTTAAAGAGAAAATATTTATTGTTAAATTCCAAATTGTGACCTAAAATTATGAAAATATTTGAAAAAAAAAATACTCGGCGTTAGCTCCCTTTTTAAGTCGCCATACATTATTGTCTTAAGAATGGCAAAAAAAGAAAAAAGAAAAAGAAGAAATGCTAGCCTATAAATTATGCTTGAAACAAGGACATTTAGATGTAGAAATACACTTTTTGACTGCACCCAAGTCCTGGGAGGACGTCAGCATTTAAAAAATACGTCTCAGGATAACGAACACACCTTGAACGTAGCACCAATGTGCCTCGCATGCTACCAACACATTGCTCGGCTTTTTGCTAGTTTGTTCACAGCATGTGAAGACAGAGTGGCAACATGTCGGAATAAGGATAGATTAAAAGTTTAATTAATTGTGCGAAAGGTTGTATAGCAATAGCTATCAAAATGGTGAAGGAACAATTCAGAGAGACAGATGTGGCGAAGAAAATGTGAGTGTGACTGCTAGCCTGTTAGCTCAGTCTGATAGCCACAGTTAGTCGAAGTGTTGCAGTTATTGCCAAGATTATTTAAAAGATTAAAGAACAAATGAGGTTTACTGTCTCTTGACTAACGTATCTTATAATTAGTAGTACTTACAGTAATTTAATATTATTGTATTTGGTGTTGACCAGGCAACCTTGAGTGTTTTTGCAGAGATATTGTGACGTATTTGTGCAACATTAAACCTTATATTCGTGGTTTATTTGTTAATTTTGGGATCACATTTATCGTTAATACTGCTTAGAGTTTCGGTTATGAACGTTGCTCATTAAGAGCTGTCAATGGGTTTGGATTGTTCTTTTTCAATTGAATGAGCTGCAACAGTGTCAGTCAACTGCAATGAATTTTCATAAAAACTGTTTTAAATTATTGCGGATTTTCTGTAATTTTTCAGTCAGTCAAATGAAACATCTCTGCAGCCCAGTATTAATATGACATTGATCTTATTGAATGTAGCATCTATTCGTTTGAATAGTTCACAACTGAAATGTGCATATTTCAGTCTTTATCTGGACTCTTTGTGCTTGTTTACAGAAGCCACATCTGCTTTGGGATGAAATCTGCAGAACAGATGCGAAAGCAGGCCCACATCCAGGTGGTCAGTAAAAATCTGTACAGCCAAGATAACAAACGCACTCCTTTGCCTTATGGAGTGTTGGACCACCGAATGGTATGGAGCATAATACTGTCATTTGTTTTCTTTTAATTAATCGTTTTACGTTATGTCAAGAGGGATTCTGTGCAAGAATAAATCACGTTATTACATTTATTAACTCCAGTTATGCTCACACACAAAAAGAAACTGCTTAGTTTAGCTGTCCACATGTATAAAAGTGCTTAAGGAGCCAAAGTTCATGTACTTTATACAGCATGGTTCATATGCAGTCTGTAAAGGTTTGGAAATGTCTGGATAATTACGGGAAAAGGAAGTAATAGGATGTAAAAATCCTTCCTTCCTTCCTCTTTGTGTCCTTGTACACTTCACCAAGTCTCCTTTACTTTTCTCCTCCATACTCCCTATAGTCCTTACTTCCATTCTAAGGGTTTCCTTCAGAATATGCCTTAAGATTAAATACTTTCAACTCTATATGCGTACAAATGTAGAAGGTTAAAGCTCAGAAAATGTAGGTGAAGGTCGTTACAAAAGTATAATATTTTACAGGATTTTGCACATTAATGTTGTTTGCACATTTTTCATGATATATAATATTTCCTGTAGGGAACCAGTGAGAAAGACAGACCATGTCTGACATGTGGGAAAAATCTGGCCGATTGTTTAGGACATTACGGCTACCTGGATTTGGAGCTGCCCTGCTTTCATGTCGGCTACTTCAAAGCAGTTATTGGGATTTTGCAGGTAAGAAATCATGATTTCCTTTTTACTTAAAAAGGAACATCTGATCATCAGCACGATCCGTGAAAGCGATTAATCCTGCCTGAAACATTGCTTAATTTCTCTGTATGTCCTGTAGATGTCACTAGAGCGTCACAGTCAGAACAAGATAATAAATGAAGTTCTAAATAAGTTCTCCGAATTTAAATTCTCCTGAATGTATTCATACAACTTAAATGTTGTGTGTTTTCAAATGTTTAAACATCTGAATCTGTAATCTTGTCTTTCCTCATTGAGGCATTTTTGTGACTGATTCCAAGCGTAATTCAACGTTCAAATATAATTCAATGTTCTGTGTGCAGATGATCTGCAAGACATGTTCGAGTATAATGCTGACCAAAGAAGACAAGCAGCAATTCATGGATTACTTGAAACGGCCAAACTTGGCCTACCTGCAGAAACGAGGGCTGAAGAAGAAGATCTCTGATAAATGCCGCAAAAGGACAATTTGCTTGAACTGTGGCGCTTTCAATGGATCTGTGAAAAAGTGTGGCTTGCTTAAGATCATCCACGAGAAGTATAAAACAACCAAAAAGGTGGTGGAGCCCTTCGTGTCTGATTTTCTGCAGTCCTTTGATATTGCCATTGAGCACAACAAACTAATGGAGCCTTTATTGCCCAGAGCACAGGTAAGGTTCAAATCTGTTCAAATAAATAGAAATACATAGCTACATGTATGCTAAAGAGGGTTTGCGGTTTTTTTGCCCCTACACTGGAGACTGGTTCACTTTGAGTCTCATTCCTTTTCACAGGAAAATTTGAACCCTCTGGTTGTTCTCAATCTATTTCGGAGAATTCCTGCAGAAGACATCCCTCTGCTGTTGATGAACCCAGAGGCGGGGAAACCCGCAGATCTCATTATCACCCGTCTGCTCGTGCCGCCTCTCTGCATCCGACCGTCAGTGGTCAGCGATCTGAAGTCGGGCACCAATGAGGACGATCTGACCATGAAGCTGACGGAGATAATCTTCCTAAATGATGTCATCAAAAAGGTCGGTGTTAATCAGGGAAACCGTCGTCAACTGAAATATAGTTCCTTGAAAATGTACCTGTACCTGTTGATGTTCTGTCGCAGTCCTAATGAATCCAACAAACTTTGAAGTATTTTATTGGAAATTCACGCGGTAAACCAAAAAAATTTGTATTTAATTGTTTTGAGAAATAAAAAAAAATACAAAATTGTGTACCAAAAGTGAAAAGACAATAAAACAAAAATGTGTCTTTCTTCACTGATACCCCCTGGGGTCTCTGAAAGAAGAGTTCTAGAACTTTATCATGTTAACATGACACAGAAATTCATCAGTTTATAATTTCTTATTCCTTCACAGGCCAGACGTTCTTATTTTGCTATTTTTCCTTTTTCCCTGAGATGCTTTGCTGCTGCTGTTATAAAGCTGTTATAGAACTGTTATAGAATTTTGCCAGATAATATGCTCTAAATCCTAAATCACTGGGGTTGAATGTCTGGTCTACCCCACCTCAAAGATTGCAGGTTCTCAATTGCAACACTGGTATTTAATATTCTCTCATAATTTAAAGTTTGAACTGGGTTGAAAGTTGAAATTTGTGAATCCAATTAGCTAAAAGACACACTGCATATGTTCAACCTTCACTATAGAACAGAAATCTGTGTGTCTTGTTTTTTAGCAGGTAGCTTTAAACTCTTGTGTGAAGACTGTAAATAATTATTTAAATTATGAAGACTGAGCTGAAATGGATCAGCTATTAGGTCTGATGTGAATCGTCTTTTCAAAGCGTAGCGTCATTGCACTTGGAATAGAAATTACATTTCAGTCAACAGAAGTGTTTTTACCTGCAGGGGGTCATTGATGAGGCTTGGCTTTTGCTCCTAATTAGGTCACTAGTCTGTGTAATTTGTCAAATGAGCTGCTCTGCAAGTTTTAACTGCCATTATCTTCTGTAGAGAGTCTCTGATTCCTTCATTTAAAAACAGTACAGTTCTACAGATCATCTTAATGCCATAAGTCTTGTTTTCCCTTGGAACAGTCTACTCTATCACGCTCTTTGCCTTTAGCATCGAATGACTGGAGCAAAAACCCAGATGATAATGGAGGATTGGGACTTCCTGCAGCTGCAGTGTGCCCTTTACATCAACAGTGAACTTTCTGGCATTCCCCTCAACATGGCACCTAAAAAGTGGACCAGAGGCTTTGTGCAAAGACTAAAGGGCAAACAAGGTACAGTCAGTGGACAAGGCATTCTCTCTTTTAGTCAAACTCCTCCTGCTCGTCATGCCTAATGTCGATCAAGTCTTTCAAAACAAACGTTTGGAATTTTCTGTTTGTTAAATAAGCAAATAGTCATCCACCCACCTTCATGTTTTTCTTTTTTCCTTCCTGCCTTCTTTCCTCCCCTCCTTCCTTCCTTCTTTTCATTCCTTCTTTCCTTTTTACTTGTTTGAGTGACAATATTGATTCCGAATCATACTTACTGAGACATTTTGAGCACAAGCAGCAGTTCAATAATATATAAAGATCATCCCAAATCTTTGCACAATTAGTACTGTTTTGGCACTTTTATGGTATTACACTTTTAAATAATTAATTTGAATTTGACTCATTTTTACTTTAATGACTCAGGTCGATTCAGAGGAAACCTCTCAGGAAAAAGAGTGGACTTCTCTGGAAGAACTGTCATTTCCCCTGACCCAAACCTAAGGATTGATGAGGTTGCTGTCCCTGTTCACGTGGCTAAAATCCTGACATATCCAGAGAAGGTAAGGTGTTCTTTATAAGTTCAGGAAATTCATTACACATCCTACATAAAGTCAGAGTCTAAGTTGAAGTATCTGCCTTTGACTCTGTCTGAAGGTAAACAAAGCCAATCTGGAACTAATGAGGAAACTCGTTCGTAACGGCCCAGACGTTCACCCCGGAGCCAACTTTATCCAGACTCGTCACACACAGATAAAAAGGTAAATTTGGTTGCTTCTTCCTCGGATCAGCATGTATAAAGCTTATCTCAGAGTAAACATCTCTGTCTTTCTTCATCAGATTTTTGAAATACGGGAACCGTGAAAAGATAGCTCAGGAGCTGAGGATTGGTGACGTGGTGGAAAGACATCTAATCGATGGAGACATCGTCCTCTTCAATCGACAGCCTTCTCTGCACAAACTCAGTATCATGGCTCACATAGTAAGTTGGGTTTTTGACTAAAAATATTTCTAAGCTCTTCCTTACTTTAGTTCAGTCGTCAAAAGGCTCTTTACCTGACAAACTGGTATTTTTTCATAAGGATTAGAATCATTTTAGGATCAGATTTAACTGAGCTTTAGTCCAGTTCACTCTTCAAATGTTTGAAGATTGATGGCAATGCCCCTTTAAAAGGTTTTTCTGCCCAAGGAAGTCCAGATTGTGTTGATTTTTTTTTTCTCAGCAGTTTCTCCTGATCAAGCTTAGAGCTTTAGTGGGAAAGAACAACTCCAGGCGTTGAGAATGGATCTGTTGCAGCAGCATTGCTGAAGAGACACTATATTTAGGACTGATTGTTACAAGGACTAGTGGATCTAATGGAAACCATATTTATGAGGGCTACTCATTATTTGTAAAGACTTCTTAAGTATTAAAAATGATTAGCACGAAGGTCAGCTTTTGACCGCCTACATTACGAAGTTAATCTGCAACTTACTTTTGCAATGATGATGTGCAATCTCATTTTGTTGCACTACTCCCAACAATGAACTATTATCTTTCATTTTAAATTTTTCAGCTGTGATCAGAAGTCACAGCTGAAACAGCTTTTTTATTTTGCATATATGAACAAAAGGCAGAAAAGAATGTAAGCAAATGAATGCTCAGGCACTTTACATCACCCACCACAATAATAATTTTCTATTATGCACTAATGAGGCATCAAGTCTCTACAAAGAGCTATGGCTGATTGGAGGAACATAGGTAATTATGGTTATTGTGTGAATTCAAGTGGTGTCTTTTGTCTCCCGTTGGTGATTTAATGTTGCAAAGTCAAAGAGCAGAATACTGATTTTATTCCTTTCGCTTATGAATCATCTCTTTCTCAACCTCGCAGGCTAAAGTCAAACCACACAGGACGTTTCGGTTTAACGAGTGCGTGTGCACGCCGTACAATGCCGACTTTGATGGCGATGAGATGAATCTCCACCTGCCTCAGACTGAAGAAGCCAAAGCCGAAGCCCTGGTCCTGATGGGGGTTTGTGTCATCACATTATTCAAGCAGAACAACACCCTACACAATTATTTTCACCCAAAGTTAAGATGTATAAAAAGCCTAAAATTTTTATTTTTTTCAAAACTCACATACAATGTTTTGGATCTCATGCTAATGAACTGATCAAAAAGGCAAAGCCTCAGCATTTTTTATTTATTTTTATGTTCTAAGATTTTAGGTCTTTTGAACTCTGCAGATGTTTGTCTCAATGAGATTTTGGGCTACGATATGTATGGTGCCATGCATTCAGACCTGACTTGCCAATATTATTTTTGACCAGTTGGACAGTGTTTTAACTGTTTTATGTTTCCAGACTTAGTTTGAAATCTTAATGAGATGCTAATACTTAGAGTAGGGGGGGACTAATGTGACAGTGGAAAAGGAAAAGCTGGAGTAATAATGGCAAATTATACAGTCATTATCGTATTCAACAGTAATATTCCAACTTAATGTGTTCCTTATTTCATTCCTTTATTCACTCATGAATGAAGTTGCAGTCATGACTAAACCAAGATCTACTTTTATTCTTATTTAAAAAAAAAGTAATATTTTGTCATCTTAAAGTTAGCACTTTTTACATATATTTAAGTGTATATATATATATTTCTTAAGTCTGATATTTTTTGTGATGAGCAAAAACATCAAATTTGGTTTGTATAATAAAAATGCATTTTGTTTTTGGAGGAAATTTGGTTATCTAGATTGCTGGGTTCTTTGAAAAATTTGCTAATAAATCAATTGAAATCCAAAAATGAGATGTTGCCTTCAGTAAGTTTTCTTGTAAGGAATCCACAGTGTTTGCAACAGTTATTTGTCTTGTCCTCTAGACTAAAGCTAACCTTGTTACACCAAGAAATGGCGAGCCTCTGATTGCTGCTATTCAGGACTTCCTGACAGGTGGGTGCAGAGATCTGTCGTAAGCGTTTACAGACAACAGTGGTTTGTTTGTTTCTTTCCTAATACGATGCTTCAAAATCTTTAACTTAGAATGAGAAAATTACATTTTTCATCAACAAATGTTAGAAATTCTCACAGTTTTCCTAATGTTTACAAATACATGTTTATGCTTTAAAATGTCAATTTTTTTGCTTGTCAAGGGAGCAATACAGCAGCTTTGACAAGTAGCTATGTTTCACCGGCACTAACTTTGCAACATATTTTGTCTTCTAAGGTGCGTACCTGTTGACGCTGAAGGACACCTTTTTCGATAGGTCGAAAGCCTGCCAGATCGTTGCATCGATACTTGTGGGGAAAGATGAAAAAATCAGGATCTCTCTCCCTCGCCCTGCTATAATAAAGGTAGAGCAACCACAGTGTCTCTTGTCACGCCACCCTGTTTTCCTTAGGCCGCTAATATGCTGCTGTGTTTCTATCAGCCAATTGCCTTGTGGACAGGTAAACAGATCTTCAGTGTCATTTTGAAGCCAAGTAAAGATTGTCCTGTCAATGCAAACTTGCGGACCAAAGGCAAACAGTACTGCGGCAAAGGAGAGGATCTCTGCCACAACGACTCATGTGAGTTTCACATTAAAAGTTTGAATGGTTTTTACTGTCTTATTACTTTTTATTCGCAGAATGTGCCCATACTTTGATTTTATGTGATCAGCCATCCCAAAGTAGCTTATAATTGGATAATGGGAGAAAAATGAGACACGATGTTCATTATTTTTGCTTTGTTTTGGAATATGAAATCAATAGTAAAATACTTTCAAATTTGGAAAAGTATAGTGAGTCATAGACCTGTCACGATAACAAATTTTGCCGAGCGATTAATTATCTAAAAAATTATTGTGATAAACGATAATATTGTTTCAAGACCTTTTGACTCTGATTTAATGGAAATGACTAATAATGCATGTGATTTCCTGCCATAGATAGATACACTCTATTTTCAAAAGAACACATAACACTGGAACTGATAAACTAAACAATTTTTACCGATAATTAAAATGAGATCGATAGGTTTAATTTATCGTGCGATTAATTGATTTATCGTTTATCGCGACAGGCCTTGTGAGAAATCACAAAAAGTTCGAATGACTTTTTTTTTTTTCCAACCTAAATATCTAATTTCACAAAAGGCTCGTAAGGGAAAAAAATATTTTTTTTCACACTATTCATTGAGTGACTGTCTCTCATATCATATTTCATTGCTAAAACAGCATCAGCTGTCCTGGGCAAACATCACGCTATTCCATTGACCTTGTCGGCGTTTCTCTTCTGGAACTAATGTCTTCATCTCTGTACCTCTGTTTTTTTTTTTTTTTTTTTCGCACACCTTCAGTTGTGGTGATTCACAACAGTGAGCTGATGTGTGGAAGCATGGATAAGGGCACCCTGGGGTCCGGCTCAAAGAACAACATTTTCTACATCTTGCTAAGAGACTGGGGACAGCTGGAGGCTGCCAACGCCATGTCCCGCCTGGCGCGACTCGCTCCGGTCTATCTTTGTAGGTGGTCCACAGTGTTGGCCTAAAATTTGGTCACTAAAACTTTGCAAATGTTTAGTGTACACCCAAACATATATAACGTAAATATTCCTAAAAACAAACATAGATCTCTTTATTATAGTAATGTCTCCCAAAGAGGTAGGCTAGTTTTTTTGGGAGCTTTCTTTAAAAAAAGATTTTTTTATAATGTTGATATTGAGACATTTTGTAATTTGAAACCTTTGAACAGAAGGGATGTGAACGATAGTTAAATATTTCTCTCATTTCCTTTGATTTCAAAATCTGTAGCTTCTTAAACTGGTCTTTAAAACGAGAACCACAAACTGGAAAATGCTTCCCAACTTATTCCTTTAGACTTTTTCTTTTTAAACATGGTTTTAAACTTTTTTTATGTTGTTTTTATTTTGGAGGGTAACTTACCCTCCACAAGTAGGGTAAGCCACAAAGGATCATTGCAAAACGGAGTGCTTTAAGTAAGCGTTTTTAATGACAAGCTGGGAAAAAGGTAAAGTGTGGTTGAAAAGATATGAACTAAGCTATTATGCAGCTGCAACTCGCTTTTAAATGTGCAAGGTTTCCCCCAGAAAACCTGCTAAGCCAAGTGGTTGGGCACTAGAGCAGTCATTCATCCAGCGGCCCGTCTGGCTTTTGAGTTAGAAAATGTTGAAAGTTGACAGGAAATCTGACAATATTACTTCAATGAGGTTCTGAATGTAGTTCTTTCTCATTCGATTTTCAGCCAACAGAGGCTTCTCTATAGGAATCGGTGACGTGACTCCCGGGACGGGTTTGTTGAAGGCCAAACAGGACCTGCTGGACGACGGCTACAGGAAGTGTGATGAATACATCGAAGCTCTGCAGACGGGCAAGCTGCAGCAGCAGCCCGGGTGCTCGGCAGAGGAGACCCTGGAGGTGGGCTTATTACACCCGGACTCCTCCTCACCGCCACTTTGATGGTGACTCATTAGGAGTGTCACTGAGTTTTCTGATTTCCAACAAAACAGGACTTTCAAACTAGCCTCCAGCAGAAATTTGAATGATTATTATAAATGTTTCAAAAAAAATTTTTTTTACAGCAGCTGTGATCACATGCTGATCTGGCCCTAAAGGAATCATTTAACAATCTTTAAAAATAGAAGCCACTCATTATGCAATTTTTTCAGCCTTACCAAGGCTGCTTATTCATCGACTTACTCCACTAACAAAATGTGAAAATTTTCACTTGCCTTTTTACCTTAAAAACATATCGGTTTAATTCAAAGTCACACAGCACAACAATAAACAAGGGCTTTACATCTTTGACATTAAATCAGTAAATTAATGTACACTGATACAAATAGCTGAACATTGCTTAACTTGTATGGATTCTGTCATTCTGTGATGTTCACCAACGTGTTTTGTTTTGGTTTCTCGACAGGCTCTCATCTTGAGAGAGCTTTCTGTGATCAGAGACCGAGCTGGCAGTGCCTGTCTGAGGGAGCTTGATAAGAGTAACAGCCCCCTCATTATGGCTCTCTGTGGTTCCAAAGGTAAGCCTGCCTAAAAACTATTCTAGGATTACCTTTCCGTTCTTAATTGGTAGTTATCACAGAAAAGAAACACAAAAAGCGTGAGCTTGATCAGTATGTCTAACATTTCTAGGTAAAAAAAATAAAAATAGCAAAGGAAGGTAGAGAGGCTTTCAGGTGCTTTTAAAAAAAGGCATTTTCTGTAGAAGTGACATTGAATAGCAGCTAAACCAGTTGATAACCATACGATATGCTGAATGCATCTGTGTATTAATGTCTCTTTTTTTTAAAGCTGTAATTTAGTTGTTATGCATACAGCTCTGGCAAAAATGAAGACATCACTTAAAATGATCAGTTTTTCTGATGTTACTTTTTATAGGTACATGTTTAAGTAAA